TGGGAGGATTGTGAAATCCCCACTGTCAGAGGCTTTCCAGAACAGGTTGGACAGGCACATCAGGAATGACAGGCAGAGTTAGTCCTGCCTGCGGGCAGAGGATGGGCTAAAAATACCTCAGCGTCCCTTCAAGCTTCATTTTCAGTGATTTAGCAGAAGGCTGATTAAGCAGCTCATGCTCAGCATCACCATCAGCTTCAAGACAAAAGCCATGTTCATTCAGTCAAAGATGCTCATATACAAACACACGTATTTAGAAAATAAAATCAAATCCATATTCCCTTCCTAAACTAATCCTTAGCTTCCTAAGTGCATGGTTTTTAATTTGAGAAGGCTGAGTTCCCACAGCAATGACATTCAGTCCTTTCGCACTTACGACACCACCAAATCATCGCTGTGTGAAGCCAAACATACCAGGGATTCCCGAAGTTCAGTAGGTGGTGTGGGTTGGGTTTTGGTGTTTCAACATCCTCAATAACTACAGCTCAGCATCCAAACATCCTGTGGCCAGGCCTGAACGTCCTGCTGGAGACCAGGCTCGGTCAAGGAAGCCACATACCATGGCTGCTCACCAAATCTCTGCCTCCTGACAGCAAACACAACACACCAGAACTCAAGACGATGTTTGCTGGAGCTAAACCCACCAATTCAGTGGGTCTCTAGGCACAGCTTTTCATCTATGCTAAAATTTAAGGGAGATTTTCAAAGGCACCTAAAGGATTTGGGTGCACAAATCCACTGCCAGCAGGGCCCACGCTGCTAAGCAACAAAGACATCTGAATATATCCTTCGGAGAGCACAGCAGCCTTATTAGCGTCAATGATGTAACTTCTGTTACAAAACTGGTGCTGGCTTCACTGCCAGCCTTTTGCAAGAGGATTTGGGTTCCCCAGCTCATCCTTAGTAACAAGTACCCTGGTTCTACGAAGGGAACAAGCGCTGCCACCCTCACTGCTGGCAGTCGGGCTCACCACGTACAGGGGGAGGATGCCTGGTGTGAGAACAAGCTAGCAGACACCCAGCTTAGTGACAGAATGTCAGCCCTACAGGAATTAGAAATCGCTTTTTAAAAGAAACTGCTGCTTTCCTGTAAGACTGAACTATTAGGTCAGTTCACATTGTACAGGGCACAGATATTCTTCACCTCAAACTTTGTGCTGAATTTCCAAGGCAGGCTGCAAAGCACATCCAAAACCCAATACTGGGGGTTTTAGCCCCAGGTACAGAGCTACCACTCTACTACTGCTCGTACCACAGCCGGGCAGCACCAGTCCTCCCAGCACTGCCATAACACCAAATTAAAACCCTCTGAATGCTTCCAAGCAGCCACCAGCAAACATTTGGGCTGTCTTAGGTACATTGCCTTCCCAGACAATGACCGTGCTTAGTGAATTTCTTCAGACAAATGATGAATAAAACCCTTCCAGACAGCAGGACAGCGAGCAGCCTCGAGCTGCTGAACGCCGCAACCTGCTCGGCGCTACTGGGAAGGCACGAAGGCTGACAGTGCCCGTGCCACAGAGCAGGAACACATCTGCCCGGCCATCCTGGGCAATCTTTTGTGAACTATCTTCAGCTTTAATCCTCTGACACCTATTGATGGTGAGAGCAATTAGCGAGCAGGGGCTAACATCCCGCGCTCTTTTAAAACTAGCAAAGCACGGAGAAAAGACTTAGTCCAGCACGTGATGTGAACATGACAGCCTCAGCCTCCAGAGAAATCGTGTGGCTAAATACAGCAGACCTAAAGAAAGAATTGCGTAGGTGACCCAAAGAGGTTTCCAAACAAGTGGCAGGGTCCTGAGCATGAGGGACCTTTAAGCAAGAGGTTAAAAGAAAAACTTCTATAAAAACTTTTGCTATCTTCACATTTACTTGCTCATTCGAGCCCCTGACACACACACATTTCATCAAGAAGCGGCTCTAAAAACGCTGACACCTGCATGACTTGCACAATTTACGTATCATGTAAGAGTTGTTACCAGCTGTGAAAACCATGTAAGAAACCACTGCAATTTAGGATCTACGACAAAGAACGCTGCTGGCCTGATGCAAGCTTGGTGCTTCCAACTAGGCAAAAAATCAATTAATTAGAACAAACGTGTAAAAACACACTGGATGGAACCACCTTGTCTGTCTGCTAACACTGACCTGGAATTTAGGTAACTTTTTAAAACTCTGGAAAACCAAGATAACCCAATTGAAAGAGTCTCTGAAGTGCCCTGTTTTTACACCATGATTCAATAGATACAGCAAGGGTTACAAAAACCGTGTTGAGATACTCAAGCCTCCTTTGAAAGGACACCATTACTTACCCAGAACTGGAAGACAGTCATCCAAGTTCTTACCATAATCACAAGTAATTAAGAGGGATGTGGGGAAGCCAGAACTGGAAAAGCAGCCTGCTTTTATGACAGCTTTTGATAGCAGAAAGAAAAACGAATACTTTCTCTGTGTATTCCTTGCTGCTAATGAATTAAAAACAATGCGATACAAAATGCACTCTAAAATAAATCCTTAAATGAATCCCTTCAGATGATGAAATTATTTTTTAGATGCATGTATTGTGTTAGAAAAATACAACCTAGAAGTGACGAGACTGAAAGCGTCCAGTGTTTAAAGTACCTGTTGCATCCTGGACATCCTCTGGAAGGGTCCATCTGCAAAACTAAACCCTACGTTATCACTGCTTCATTTAGACTCCGTTACTTGTTGCACTTTCAAAACCTGGAGACATAGAAAATACAAAAGCAAGAGCTTTTAAAAACATCTGCTCCAGGAAGACAAAGAAACCCCATCTCTGCTACTGCAGCAAATGTTACTGGAAAAAGCACTCTTGTTACTCCTGGGAAAGCAAGGGCTTTAAAAAACATCTGCTTCAGGAAGACAAAGAAGCCCCATCTCTGCTACTGCAGCAAACGTTACTGGAAAAAGCACTCTTGTTACTCCTGGGAGGAATCAGCCTGCAGAGCTGCAATAAGGGGGAGGGAAGGGCTAATTGATACAATGTTTTCCAGAGAGAAATGCACTCATAGTTCAGCTTGTCTGTATTTTATGCAACTATACTGCTATAGGGATAGAGCAAAACTGTGTATTTCAGTGTGATGTAGCTGCCACAAACAGACCAACCGAAACCCAGTATACCCAGTATACAATGGTGTAAGAAAACTGAATCAGAACAGCAACGGGGAAAGTAGCAAGTTCCCAATATTGACCAAAATTTACACATAAATATACTTTTTTCCATACCACAAATCGAATACTTTGGATTGTAATCTTTCCTACTATTTTTATTTTACAGAGTTGATTAAACATGAGGGTCATTAGGTTCAACTCTGGTTCTCCCACGTTAAGACTGGCAACAGTGCCAGTCCCTCACTTACCTGTGTAAGCGTTGGAGGGGAAAGAAAACCCAACCACCAAGAATACAACCACTTCCAAATTGCACAAAATGTTTATTGTTAGTCTAGTACATTCAATATCATATTGACTAGAATACAGTAATTCAAAATATTTTTGGCGAATTGAGATTTTTTTTAAAAACCATTTCAAACACTCCAAAAAGCAATGCCATGAAAAATTAACTTAAAATTAAAACAAACACATTCAAGCAATAGTTTCACTGTTGACTACAGAAAACTTTTACATGTATTTTAGTGGTTTTAACAGTACTGCGTTTCAACAAAATATAGGAACTCACAAAAAGTGGAAAATATTAAAATAGACACAATGTTAAAAAACTGAGGCATCCAGATGTGTGAGACTGTTGTACTAGGAATTACCTGCCCAGCTGCTCCATTTTTTCCTCTTTTGGGGCAGTTAACTCGTCTGCTGTCGTGGTGCTGTTTCTCCAATCGCCTGCTCGCACCACACAGCAATAATTCTTCAATGCCTTGAACTTAAAGTTTGTCCCTCTTAAATTCAGTATACAAATGTAAATATTCTAAAATATGCAACCCACTGGCAAATCTAGGTGCAGTATCAAACGGTACCTTGAAAAACTTCCCTATCTTGCTACTTATTGTTTGCAGACAGGCAATATCCAGAACAAAATCTGAAAAAGGCAACACGTTTTGGTTTTGGTTTTAAATACTGACATGAAAAACTGAGTAAATTAGAAAAAGGATAAAGTCAATCTTAATATAAGACATTCATTATACAGTGGGACAGGATACAATTATTGGACAAACAGTACTACAATGACTCCTCTACATCTGGTCATTTAATGCACATGTTCTACAATCATGACTTGCTACCACATTTGGTTTTCCTGTACAGAAAGACAGCAGTACAATTAAAGACCAGTTTTACTCTGTGTTAAGTCCCAGAACGACAAGTGACACTGTATCAAACCCTTCCAGCTCTCCTCTCGGGAAGGCCGTGCTTGTGAGGGCCAACAGCCATGAATTCCAAGTGGTCAGCAACTGCTCTGCTCCTGCTGCTCTGACCAGGATTTCCCAACAAAAACGGGTGGGAACTGGTTCTGTTGGTCAATTTAAATCCCTCTGAAAACTCAAGCCTTAATATTACAGCACCAACACGTGTATATGTATGAGTGACTCCCTGATTTGGACAGGGAGTAGTAGCTGTCCCCTGTCCTCAGTACTGCCAACCCTTGCTAAGTCAACCTTCATGCAAACTCCTGCCTGCCTGTCAGCACGGAGCAGAGCTGGGAACCTCGAGGAGAAACTCGTGTCAGCTATGTCTCTTAAAGCACTTCACTTCCATCACGGATCAAGCCAAATTAAGGTGCTGTTTAAGTGGTACTACAGATGAGCAGAGTACTATCATGTTAAAACTCAGCAGAATCACATTTAGATTTTAGTTTGTAAAAGCGGTCATTACAATTACACCTGTAACACAACCTTAGGAAGAGGTACAGTTTGCTTGTCAGTACAGCATGTGGAATGTAACCGTTTCTTGCAAGACTTTGCAACATGAGTAACTGCATAGATGACAGTTGTGTTTTCAGTTCAATAAACGTACTTTTAAAGTTTACAAAAAACACAAAAGTTTTCTAGAAAAGTCACATTATACCAAGATAATGGGTGATAAAAGTAGATTATTTGTCTGTGATTCATGTTTAATACATGACAAGTGGAAAGGTGATAGAAACCAATTTCAAATCAAAAGTTACATTTTCACTATTGCACTGACTTCACCATTTGAATCACTAATTTAGAAAAAGTCACATAGTTAAAAATTGTAAAATGAAGCTAGAATACAAAATTTATTTGTAAACATCAGGTAGCCGGTTCTACTAACATGGAATGGACTCTTAGTACTGCAGTACAGTATCTTGGTTTTTTACAGCACTTGCCGTATGATGGGCAATTGCAGGACACATACAACATCAGTTCACAGTAATTGTGTTCAGAGAACTACCAAAGTCAGTGCAGTTTTTCTGTGCAATTTTCCAATTTCCCCGAATTCCTTAAGTCAAATAATACTGTTACAGAGACCAAGTGCAGATTTTCTTTTCTATATAGATATAATATCTATATCTATCTCATAAGTGACGAATTATGTCTGCAGGACTTCTGTAAAGGTACTTCCAAATGGCATAGTAATGAACAGCTGCTGCTGTGGCCACAAATATGTGCCAGATGGCATGGGCAAAGGGGATGACTCCATCGCTCTTGAAGAACACCACACCCAGGCAATAGATCAGGCCTCCCCAGGCGACCTCCTGGAGTCCATCAGTGTTGCTCTGTCAATTAACAAGGAAAGATTAGGGATGGGGTGTACAGGAGGGAAAGGGGATGTTATGCACAAAATACAAAGTGTGTTCCGCTCCAGGAAAAAAAGCAGTCTGACAACTCAGAACATCGTGGATATGACAGATGGACCAGTGAGAAAACCAGTATTAAACTTTGTGAAATATATAATAATTATTTAATATGTCTCAATAGCACCATAGAAGTAATAGTAGGATGACTGAAGAATTAAGACAAGTTTTCTGTTTTGCTTCATGCTCATTAGCAGAGGAAACAAAGAAAAAGAAAATCATATTACTGCATGTAAGTGTGAGTTTAACGCAATTAACTCCTACCAGTTGGATGAAGCACCCAGCAAGGTTTTGGTACAGCACAACGTTCATGTGGAACATCAAGTACTGTATCTGGCATTAGTTAAACCCCGGGTTCACAGCTCCGTGAACAGATCACAAATTCAAAGAAAACTTGGCCTTTTCAGAGGACTGAGTTGGAAAGCTGTCAGATTTACATTAGCAGCAGAGAGGGTTATTCAAAGTTATTTATAATGTGTAACTATAAGTAAATAACAGTCAAAGTTTGAGAAGGACAACACAGGGTAGGATGTTTTACAAATGCACCAAGTTACCTTTTCTTACAAAAAACAAACCACCAATTGCTGAGAGATCAAGTATCTCAGTTCCAGTGTATCAGTTTGAAACCGTTCTTCTCAACTTTTCAATTTTTCCCTGCTTAATTTCTAACTGAATTGTTATGTCCAATATTCTTTGAAAAGTAAGAGTCTTCAGAAGTGAAGTTTGGAACCTAAGCTCTTTTTATGTAGACTCCGCGTCCCAGGTAGGATTTCATAGAATGTAAACTACGAACCCAAAATATAACTGACTGTATTTGGTTCTTCTGCAGAGAACATTTACAATTACGATGGACTAAAATGAACATCTTTTGAGAAGACAGCAAGCTGCACTGGAACTCAAGATAGTTATAAAAGGAAAGTTTGTGTGTTTAATGTTGATAGTCACATTCCTTACCATGGATGTCACTACCAGAGCAGGAGAAAATCCCATCGCTAAATAGAAAAAGAGTTCAACGATCTTATACCTAAAAAGGAACAATTTGAATCATTTAAGGAGGTGTACAAGAGAACGAACGTTTCCTTCAACAGTAAAGAAAATATTTTAGGTTAGCATGGGTCCATTAAACTATTCAAAAAGCTCTCTGTGCAGATCTACACTGATGTTTTATGACAAAAATAAAGCTAGTATTGTCTCTGCATGCTGCAGTTGCAGTCAATACCTTCTTCTCTAAATACCGCCTAAATGCATTAGTTCACATTAAGTACTAGTGAGAATAAAACATTGAGACAACTTGTAACTTCACGTTTGACAAGAACCTCAATAGCTCATCTCCAAAATAAGAAACAGTTGGGTCTTGGGTCCTTTCGGATAAGTAATGATAGCAGGCTCCAGAATTCAGATGTGAAACTCAAGGACTCACATCTCAAACAAAACCAAGAAGGTATAGAGTCAATATGCATCAGTATATATAAACAATACAATGTTGCAGTATAATCTACGCATGATGCTATATAAATTAGGGGCATAAGAAAGCCGTCATTTCAACCAGTTTCTCATCTTATCCACTTTAACCCATGCTTTCTTGTAGCAAGAGTTAAAGTTTTAAAAGGGAATACTTCCTTCCCACCCTTTTAAGAAAAGGCAATAATACAGCCTAAAGACATGTTATGACAGGGAGAATACAATGATGTAAGTTTGACGACAGTTTGCATTATTCTCATCACCTATTTCCACTGCTTCAAAGCTGTTATTTCAGTTTGTGAAAGGCTGGATAGAAGCACTCAGAAAGCAAAAAAGCCCACACCTGTTAATTTCAGTTTAACATTAAAAGTGCAAATAGTATTTCTTACTTTTCATGGTAGAGAAATACGTAAATGGTTCCTCCAGCAGCCATCAGCCAGATAAACCAACGCATGTGGGATGCTAGAGGTCCAAGCTCACGTAGATTTAACCTGGAGGTACAAAAGATTTCAAGAGACAAAAGTGATGAATGAACAGATCATGCTTGATAAAAGCAAACAAATATTCAGACCCATAATTTAGGCATGATGGAGGAGAAGACACTTGGACATTCTATACATATAGAGGCATAAGGTGTGTTTGCACTGATGTGAGGAAAGCATAAACTGGGCTATGTGGAATATAAATAAATTACTTTCTGCTATATCTAATACTGCTTTCTGTTCAGCAAGTCACAGGAGACTACATTACATTCTATTTCACAAAGCAGAATTGCATCTAAGAAGATACCTATAGGTTTTAGAAAGCCACAATGATTAACTGTTTACATTGGAAAGAGCTTTAATTCTGAAGCTGCACTTCAGATTTCTTACCATGGTGCATATGATGCCGCAATAAAGACGTAGATCATCATTCTGTCACACATGTGAAAGCAATGCTCCATTGTCCTAGGAAATGAGAGAACAAGTCACCAAGACAGATTTCACAAAGAATTTTGTATCATCTCTATTTCCTGACTTTGGGGAAAATGCCATTAGCTCCATAACCTCTTAGAACCATTCAGAAGACCGAAGTCCAGCTGACTTCAACTTCAGGGAGTCATAAGCAAGGGGTCATAAGGAGATGAGCACTCCTCCACTCGTCTCCCTGCCTCCACTCCAACATGCATCTTGCACTCTGCCAAGGAGGCAGAAAGCTGTCACATCAACTCTGTCTAGTCTGGAAACTATTACTATTTAGTAACTACTGGTTAATTCCAACTTATGGCCCAGAATTATAACAAGAGTAATAAAAAAAATGAAAAAATAATTTACATCTTAGTTTTGCCATTGCTGCCTTGCTCCTAAGAAGGCTTTCTGATAGCTAGTTGTGTATGGTATTAGAATTCTGTTGGCAAAATCTGTGCTCCTCAAAATATTTGAGCATGACATGCAGCATTCTCATTTCTGCTATGGCATTTTATCTGCCATACACTTAGATTATGTTTTTCCCATGCAACTTCTGGATTAAGACACACTAGGGCCTAGAAAAACACATATTTCCCTTGAAAAAAACCAGCAGACATTAAAGCTTGTTTGTATACAAGCTTGGCTCACTGTTTCTTCTAACAGAATCAAAGCTGGGTATTTTAATGATTCAGTATAAGGTACCACTCCAGCCTTCTGTAAAACTGTGTTTCTGATGGAGAAACACAATGGAAAAACATCTCAGAACATGAAAATAAACCTTATACATCTTATAGTGATACCTTAAGTGACTCTTTTTCCACGAAACAATATGAAATACTGTGGAGACAATGAAGAGCGCACAGAGCCCCATGCCATACATCCATGCTGTTATCTTTTCCCATCGATCATCCGAAAGCCGGTGGAGAAGGGCACTACCCACAATTGCAGGAACAATGAGGAACTGAGAAAACAAAAAGCCACTGTTCAATCTTTACTGAAGTACAGCAACAGCAGGGCAGATAATACTGCGTTCTGCCCTACAAGACCATACATCTGACATCTGATTGCATGCTCCTAACCACAGCAAGTTTTTCATTTAGTAGTATGTTGACATTGGCAATAAAAAGAGAACTAAGGAG